CCCCCCTCCCCCTCACAAAACCTCATCACCGGTAAATGGCTCTTTAGACATAAATTTGGCCCAACCGGTGAGTTATCCAGGTACAAGGCCCGCTGGGTGGTTCGTGGTTTCAACCAACGTTTTGGCGTTGATTATGACGAGACTTTCAGCCCCGTTGTCAAGCCTGCCACTGTTCGTGTTGTCCTCAGTCTTGCTCTGTCTCGAGGTTGGCCCATTCATCAGCTTGATGTCAAGAATGCGTTCCTTCATGGCCAGCTGCAGGAGACCGTCTATGCCTGTCAGCCTTCTAGGTTTCAGGATCCCACTCGCCCTCACTATGTGTGCAAGCTCAAGAAGGCTCTATATGGTCTCAAGCAAGCACCCCGATCATGGTTTCACAGGTTTGCTGGCTTCATACACACTATTGGGTTTAGAGGATGTAAGGCCGACACTTCTCTATTTGTCTTCTCTCAGCCCATGGGCACGACCTATCTACTACTTTATGTGGATGATATAGTTCTCACAGCATCCTCGCCAGCACTACTACAGAGTCTCATTCAGCAGCTCAAGGCTGAGTTCTCCATGACAGATATGGGCGATCTGCACTTTTTCCTTGGGATTAATGTTCACCGCACAGCTTCTGCCCTCTTCCTCCACCAGACTCAGTTCGCGCACGACATCCTTGAGAGGGCAGGGATGGTTTCTTGTCGGTCCATCTCAACCCCGGTGGATACAAAGGCGAAGCTGTCTGCGTCAGCTGGCACGACGCTTTCCGACCCCTCCCTTTACCGATCCATTGTTGGCGCGCTGCAGTACCTCACATTCACTCGTCCTGACATCACATATGCAGTCCAGCAGCTCTGCCTACACCTCCATGCCCCGCACGACGCCCACTTTACAGCCATGAAGCGTGTTCTCCGGTATCTCAGTGGCACTGCCACTCATGGCATTTACTTGACAAAATCCGCCACCGACTACCTACAGGCTTATTCAGACGCTGATTGGGCTGGCTGTCCTGATACCAGACGTTCTACTTCGGGCTACTACGTCTTCCTCGGCGACAACCTTGTCTCATGGTCGTCTAAGCGCCAGGCCACTACTTCTCGCTCCAACGCCGAGGCGGAATACCGGGCTGTAGCGAATGTTGTTGCTGAAACCAGCTGGATCCGAAACCTTCTCCTTGAGCTCCAGTAGCCACTCCGTCGCGCCACACTTGTCTTTTGTGATAATGTCAGTGCGGTTTACCTTTCGTCAAACCCGGTGCAGCATCAGCGCACCAAGCACGTCGAGGTTGACATACACTTTGTGCGTGATAAGGTGGCACTCGGTCAGATCAAAGTCCTGCATGTTCCGTCATCTTCTCAGTTTGCTGATATCTTCACAAAGGGACTGCCCTCACAATTATTTCTTGACTTCAGAGAAAGCCTGGGTATCCGACCCCCAGCACTGCCGACGTAGCTGGGAGCATGTTAAATATATATAATATATTTAATATTATTGTATTATTATTGTTACCATATTTGTATAGGTTTCCTAGATTGTCTCTCCTACCTTAATTAGGATTGAGACTTTTGTATATATACATGTACTCTCCTCACAATTTAATCAATGAAAATAATTCTTCTTCAATTTGCGTTAGCGTTTTGGATAAAATTTAGCGGTGCAGATTACTTTGAAAACGCTAAATGCTACCCGTAGATAACCTTTTCAAAACGCTAACGCTAATCTCTAACGCTATTCCCAAACAGGTCTTAAAACTTAAGCACGCATCGTTAAAAAGGATAGGTAATATATGTGAAATAGCAGAATATATTTAGAATTACCTTCATATTAAAACTATTTCGCTGATATATCAACATAATTTACTTGAATAAGATGTAAGCTTGATAAGATATATGGAGTTATATATCTTAAACATACTAATGGGCTCTCATATTTATAAAGCAAGAGCGGCTAGACATCTCTGTTCCCACGAGCCAACATGATTGTCGTCTAATACTCGAATACACAGGTATGATATTCGAATATTAGTGTATTAATTGGAGTGAATCAACACAATTATTCGGATAGTATTTCTGTATTTGATAAAACAGTATAGTAGTTAGTCATGTCGACTCTAATTTTGCAAAACTTTTAATGTAGTTTTTAAATAAATAAATTTTATTTCTAATTCTACACTAATTTTTAAATAAAATAAATTAAAAATAATATCACTGAAACCTCGTACACAATAACAGACGATTTAAATTGAAATTGAGGAAATACAAAGTAACAAATAATAATAATAATAATAATAATAATAATAATAATAATAATACTCCAATAAAGTTGAAAAAAAATTAGAGAATAATGAAAAACAAATTTGCAAAAGCCGTAGAAGATTAAAAAAAATGAAAGTAGTAAAAGCCAAAAATCAAACGAGGCCCATAAAACTAGTGAACGACGGCCTTTTCCGAATCTTATCCATCCAACCAAAACCCGGTTTCTTGAGTCCTTCAATGCCACTGCTGTTCGGGCGCAATAATTCAAATTACAGTTTAATCCGCCGCGAAAATGGAGCTCCATGGTACAACCGTTTATAGCGCATATCGAAATTATCACTAATTTAATTCAATCATCCCTTTGATTTCAATCTCCTTTTCTGCGATCTTCTGGATCAGGGCTCAGAGGTTCAAACCCTAAAGCGGCGCTTTCTTCAATCTTAAACAAGAGGCAGAAGCTTCAAGATGAGCTCCGGAAGGTTGAGAAACAGGTTAAAGTCTCACTCTTTTATGAATCTGTGAGGCTCCGTTTGTTGATGTTTTCTTTTTTGATGATTTTATGACTGGAGTTTTGCTATGTTGACTTCTTGTTGTTTCAATTATTAGTTTTTTGCGTCATTTACTGTTGAACTTTTTAGAAATTGTGCGGATTCAACTTGAACTTTAACATTTGCACCAATGCTCTGTGAAGTTTTAAAAATGTTGCACCGATGGTCCCTATCCGCCAGATTTTGGAGTGTATTAATCGCACGCTCATCCAGTGCAGGTATAGATTCATCTAAAGTCATTTATTACACGTGAGTTCTGCGATATGCCATTTCCAAACACTACCTTTTATATTTTTAACCGCTTTAAATCCTAGATAATTATTCTCCATTTAGTCGTCGGTAACCGAATTCGTTTGCCGGACATGAGTCGATAAAATTGGTCATCAAGCGATTTAACCTCTTTGTCAATCAATGACATCTTCGTCAAGCTCCAACACGTATTTTGGTGAACGTTTAATTAATGCACTCTGGAATCTGGGGCCATTGGTGGAATTTTTAAAGTTTACGGTGAATCCGTGCAACTTTTGAAAAGGTCAGGGGGAAATGACGCAAATAGCTCTATTGCCAAATGGATACTAGCAAGATGCTGGATTTATGGTTATTTGCTGTTGCAGGTATATGAGTTAGAGACAAGTTATCTGCAAGAAAGTGGAACCTTTGGGAATGCATTAAGAGGCTTTGAAGGGTTTCTATCTTCCTTAAATAAAAATTCAAAGTATGGGATTCTCGTTCAATCATCCACTTAGATGCTTCATTTTCAATGTGTAGAGCTAACTTATGCTCATGTCTTTTGAAAGATTATTGTCATCTCATTATTGCTTTTTAAATGTGGTATTTGTTTTCTTTATTTTGCGGATATTTTGTTGCTTTGATTAGTCAACTTGTTCTGATACCATTTAAGTATTTACCAGCCTGAAGAGATCAAGAAAATTTCAACTTGAAGATAGATTATTTTCGCTCTCCTCAGTGACTTCACCTGCGGTAGGCATTCCATTCTATATATACGGAGTATCAGTTTTTATCCGTCATGAGTTTTTTTTCCCCTAGTTTTACAGCGAACCAAGTCTTGTAAATCCCGAGTAACATCCGTGATCTGCCGTAAGGCAAATTTGAATAGCAACTCAGCTGAATTTTAATTCTTCTATTTGGGATAATGCTCAGTTCTGTGACTTTTGTCATTTAAATGGTTAGCATAGGTGCCTATAAATCACAGAGACTCTGTCAGAGAGTTTGTTTCCATTAGACCCAAGATGATTATAAGTTAACCCATGAGCATTGTTGTTGTTATTATTACTCCATATTATTTTGCTGAATTCGGCTTATGACTTGACCATTTGCCTTTTTTTACAATAATACGCATAAATATTTCTCAAAACCATAGTTATGTTCCCTCTATTATCAAATAAGCTGCATCCACTGCCAGTCTGCCACTTTATACTCCACTACTTACAAGTTACAATAACAACAAACTAGTAAAATCCCATGAAAATAAGGTCTGGAGAGGGTGTGTGTACACAGACCTACCTCTACTCAGAAGTAGAGACTAGAGATGTTGCTTCCAACACCCGACTCAAACTAGGCCCAAATTAGAGAAAGCACACATTCACAAGCTACAAACTAAGGTAAAAACACACCCGCATAGAGTATAAACTAAGGCCCAAAGGTCTAATCGAATTCTAGATCTCTACACATTCCTATCTAAAGTTATACCTTCGGTAAGATCCTGAAAATGTAAGTATGTCTAATCACCTCCTTCCAACTCTTCCTAGGTCTATACCTCTACCCTTTCATTGCATGAATTGGACCTTGTTATCGGGGGGGCTTTGCTAGTGAGCTTGATATTGCGCTTCTCTTCCCTTTTGTCAGGCTGAAGAACTTGGACTGAGACGAGAAGGTTAGTCTTTAGACAATTCTGTTTAGTACAAGCATTTGTTCGTAGCCATTTTATGTCCAGTTACTTTAAAATGTGTCGAGATTTATGATTATTTGATGATTAATTAATCGCTTTTTTGCTGCATCTTCATAGATGGAAAACTGGATCACGGCCAAGGTCGTTCCAAGTCTGGAGGCATAACAATAAATGGACCGTAAGTGCATCATTCATTCATTCTTGAATATCTCGAATTGAATATTACCTGGAAATATTACAGCCCCCCAAGCATGCCCCCACACTTCTTTCCTTCATATGTTCAGTGACATAAGCATGTTGCCTACGCCTGAACGAAAAGGAGTTGGGGCGCACGTGGAAGTAGACTTGACAAAAACTGGTCTGACCTGTTTTACCTGATCCGTGCCGAAAAATATTGGGTCTTAAACAAAGGTTTTGTTCACCAATCTTAAAGATGATTGAACCCGTAATGACTTGTTAAAATAGGTCAAATTCGACCGAAACTAACTAAAGGAAATTTTTTTAAAATCACGTACTTTAGTATAAAATATATAGCGATAAAAATCAATGTATTATTATTTTTGTTTTTTAATCTATTTTATACTATACAACTCTATTGACACTACATAAATTTCAAATAGAATGCTATCAAGTAAAATCCACCGTAGAATTGTTAGATATTAACATATAGATCATACTAAAAAAATCACAACAATTGGAAATCGTTTCGTGCTTCGGTTAATAACTTCTGTTTTAACATAGCTAAGAATCATTGATTTTAAAAGTTATTAACCAAAGCACTATGTGAATCTTTTCAAAGATGATCTACCTATTTAAAATTTTTAAAATCAAACACTCATGGTACGTTAGGTCGACCCGAAACGGATTACACTGAGTTATGAACACAAATTTCCCAACCCAAATTAATCCTAACCTGAAGCAGCTCGAACTCGAAAAATCCAAACATGAACCTGAACACACTTAGTCACAATTTAACTTATTTCTTTTTTCATATTGGGTTTTCACTTCTTTTTTTTTCGCCTGCTTTTTGCATTTCCCTTTGGTGATTTATATGTGCCCTTGTGGTTATACTTTCTCGCATGTGTCATATCACAGGCGGAAACCGAAAAAAGGAAGAACAGTGCCAAGAGATGTAAAAAAAGTCAGGAGGGGTTCTGATGACTTGGATGTTGATGATGAAGAAGAAGATGATGAAGATCCAGATATGATGAGCTTCAGATAAACTAGTTCCCCATTTGAAACTATTGCAGGCAATTTAACTTTTCTGTTGTACCTTATTGTACTATATCATAAAAAAGGATGAATCTAATCTAGTCCCTAGGTTCCTTTCCGAACCGCCGAACAATTATCTAGCAGGGAATAAATTGAACTATAATCTTAATCTGACAAATAAAAAGTGTGATGTACGCGTAAGTGTTGGTTTTGTAGAGGCTAAGATACATTTGGGCCCGACTTGGGTCGACCCGTCTTATTATTAGCCCATCTTTGTTTATTGGAGAGCAAGCTTCGTAGCCCTAGGTTTCTTCCTATAAATATGCATCTTGTACTTGTAATTCAGGTGACACGACAAGTGAATAAAATTTCTTCTGTTGCAGTCGTGGATTAGAAAAATAGAAATCACCTTAAATAGGACTAAAACATAGAGAAAAGTACCAAAATAAGACTTTCATGTTTTTTTTCCCGAAATAAGACTTTGCACTGTGATAATGTGACTTTGCCCTGTGGTAATATGGCAGTGTACATGTGCACATTACTATACTTTTTTGGTAATGTATATGACCATGTTTGGTAATGTAAATCTTATTTCGGGAAAAAAAACATAGAAGTCCTATTTTGGTATATTTTCAATGTTTTAGTCCTACTTTGGTCCTTCTCCCTTAGGAAAACCGAATCACATTAAATTCTTATATGTCATATCATTTGTGTTCCGTTCTCTCTTGATTCTCACGGATATTTGTGTGTTGTGTGTTTTTAATTCCAAACAAGTGTTGTTCAACACGATAACACGAATAGTGATGGTAAGATATTAATTGTAAACCATAGTCAAAGGGGCTGAAAAATTCAGTTGATATCAACATGGACGTGCAAGGAAGAAGGTACTTGTAATAAGTTGTACACAAAATTGACCACTCGAAGTTGATTTTATTTTACTAACTAAAGACTAAATAAAGAGTGGTAGAAAGTGGTTTGTTGACTTATGAATTGATCAACATTTTTGACAAATTTGTCTACCTAAAAATTAATCATTTCATATGAGTGCTTCTCTGTTCACACATATATTGTTGGGGGCGTTTACCAAATCACTCCAACACAATATTGACAAAGTATTACTCCCTTCGTCCTAAAACTTTCTTCCCAGAGCACTATTCCAACTTCACGGGAATTTATATTTATTTGTGTTTTTTCATGGCCTATATGATAAAATAAAATATTCTTGTCACCACTTGTTTTGTTGAACTTTTGATGTAATTTTTAAATATGTATGTTTTATTTTTTATTTCTATACCAATATTTAAATAAAATAGATTGAAAAAACTTGGGATTTTTTTTCGTTTTGCGAACCGGGAAGAAAGTTTTAGGACGGAGGGAGTATTTCATTTTTACCCTATGAAAAGAAAATAATACTAAAGTAAAAAGTGGGTGTGATTGAAATGTGTATAGTTGTTGAAATTTCTGGGGTTTGAGTAAATTACGTAGAATGTCGGGTGAGATTTAAGCATTTTCTCATATAAAGTTTGGATTTACTCTCTAATAAAAAGTTTAAGTGAATAGATTGTGTTTTAATACCTTTCTTTTATTATGAAAAATCTAAGAGATGGCAGTACAAATCAGATAGTGTTTCCTCACATATTTCATTAATAAACAAAAAAATAAGAAAGCGTGAGCTTTATTATGAAAAATCTAAAAAGGATAGTACAAACTTTATTTTGAGACAAAAAGAGTACATTTTTTATGAGAAATGGTTAATCGTAATACAAAAATAATATGAACGGTAGGTTCTTTATATGAAACATTGTTATAAAACTATTATTTTGTCACATTTGTGATAAAATACTTCTATCATACACCCAAATGTTTGAAAGTTCATTAAATTCAATTCTAGTTTTGAATATATTTAATTCTCAAAGGTCCATGATTTTTTTTATAAATAACTATACTAACACAGATATGTGAAAATATTTTTTATCATATATATCAAGATTCGACAAATCATACATTTAATAGATCTATGAAAAAATAATATTTTTTTGTTGTTACAATTTTAATAGTGATAAAAATGATTAGAAATCAAGTATACTCCTCCGTTCCAAATTAATTGTCTGTTTACTATTTACAGAGGCAAACTTTATTCATTTTCTTTCTCTTTTTTTCGTAGTTAATTCGATAAAGTAAAATAGCCATATCACCACTAGTTTTGTAGATCTTTTGACGTAGTTTTATTATTATTTCAGTCAATTCAAACACTACAAGTAATATAAATTGGGATAAGGGAGTACCAAAAGGAGTACATCTTTTTTTTGTGGGGTGAGAGTAGACAATAAACATGACAATTTAGACAAAATTGCTCTACGATATTCCTACGAAGAGATTTTTGTTTGTGACTCTAGCATCACTCGAGTAATATTACTATCTAATCACTTATAATTGGTAGTAATAAAATTTTATGATGCCTCGCTTAATTTTTTTTAAAAGAAAACGAAGTACCCTATTATTATTTTTATTCTTTGTATTATTCTCTTCATACCAAATTAAATTGTTTGTCTACTATTCACATGGTTAAACTTCATTCATTTTATTACTCTATTTTTGCTACTTATTTAATGAAATAAGTCATGTCACCTCTTGTTTTATAAACTTTTGATGAAAAGTTTATTTTTAAGTCCCAGTCCAATTCTCAAACAAAATTCTATTAAAAAACATCAGTTGAACATCGTGAATCGAAACAGACAATTCAATTGGAATTGGAATGAAGAGAGAATTATTTTTAGTTGTAAAATTATGGTCTCGGCTTTTGATGGGTATAAAAGTCAAATGTGAACATAAAATCCTAATTTGGATACTAATTCAAACTCTACAACTGCATGCATTAACATTGTCACTCCTTTTGAAGTATTGTGCTCCGTATATTTAATAATATTTGGTCACTAAATATCAAGCCTACGTATGACTGTATGAGAGCGAGATTTACTTCACTTCAACTATGAGGATTGTTTGCTTATTCTTTTTGTTTGAATTTAAATAAGAAATTACTCCTAAATCAGAGTAAAACATAGAGAGAGTATCAAAATAAAAGTTCTATGATTTTATTCTTTAAATAGAAATTTGCTGTGTGATAATGTGACACTGTAAATGTGCATTTACTATACGTTTTGGTAATGTACATGATCATGATTGTTAATGTAAATGCATGTTAACTCCTATTTCAAAAATAAAAACATAGAACTCGTATATTTTTTAATGTTTACTCCTATTTTAGTATTTTCCCCTATTTAAATCCGAATCTAGATAGAGTTTTTATTTTAACTTGAAATTTGAGTCCGTAGATTCGAATTGATGTCTGAAATTAAAGCTTAAAAAATACTCTCTCCGTCCTAAAACGTTCTTTCCGTTTCTGTTTACGAAGTTTGACCGACTTTATTTTTAATTCAATTTATTTGATTGTATGTGTAAAATTAAAAAATAGACATTGATATTGATTGTCACATTGTCCGAGAGTGCATTCAGTGTAATCATGTCGTCACCGCTTATGTTCCTATGCGTCTCCAGACTGCGGACATTTTCACAAAGGCTTTGTCCGGTCCTCTTTTTCACTGCTTATTATACAATAAGTTGAGCATTTATGATCTTTATGCTCCAACTTGAGGGGGAGTGTTACGTTAGCGTAGTCTATTTGTGTATACTGTACCGGTTTTACTTTGTATTGGGCCGTGTACATTGTGGGCCCGTAACTAGCGTGCTTAACCATGTATATAAACTCTTTGTAATCAATGGAAAACACAGTTTCACGTCCAATAATTTCTACATTCAAAATTTAAAATAAATATCATTTCTTTCAGATTTTAGAACTCGTATCTTATCATATCTTCAAAACTCCCTAATCGGGTCCTTATACTATATCAACTAAAGCTCATTTGGTACACGAAATTTAAATTATTGGATTGAAATTGTGGACATCAATTTCAATTCATCCAAATCAGATCTATAAAATTTCAACTTCCAATTCAATTCCAATTTTGTCAAAGTCAATTTATGAAATTTCTATCCCATTGCGTAGGAGTGTAATAACAAGTGCATATTCTCAATAACTAAACAAAAAAACAAACATTTTTTCACAAAGGTTTGACACTAAACACGTTCTATTATCGTCAAAATCTAAGAAGTCCACAAGCATTAATAAGCCTACTCAAATTATATTGAACATTTCAACCTGGACCCAAAAAAATGTTAAAAATAATACCGAGTACATATTTTGGAACCACTTATAAATAGTGGGGAAATTTACCTAAATATTACTAAAACATAATGATTTTTTCAATGTAGTATCCTATATTTTTATTTCTTAATATAGTACCACTAGTCATTGTTCAAGTAAATGTTCATTGCTACTGCACACTATTCAAACTAAATGTCTACCATCACTGCACATTTTTCCCGCCACGAGACATTATTCAAGTACAATTTAGTAAAATAAAAAGGTTTAATTACTACATTGAGAAAATAACATATGTTTTAGTACTATTTAGTGTAAATTTCAGTTTAAATTATTCTGTCTCTTTTTAATATCAAGTTGAATGTATAATACTCGATATTTTTTTAAAAAGTACTCCTTATTCAATATTCCCTCTGTCCCATTTTAAATTGTCTGTTTGTCTTTTTCTCCGTCCCAAAATAAGTTGTCTGTTACTTGTTATCGTAAACTTTTAAGAGTAAAGTAACTAAATTACCTCTAAAATAAGTCACTCTTCTCCACCTTATCTCCTCATTCATCGTCACCCCTCCTAAAAAGTAATGACAATTTCGAAAAATCAACTCTATTTTTTCTTTTCTTTAAATATGCCCAAAAGTCAAAACTGGCAATTTAAAACGGGACGGAGAGAGTAGTTTATATACTCTTTTGAGTTTTTAGTCCACATAATTAATTAACTTTACCAGTAATCGAGTTGATTGGTTAACTGAGTTAATTAATATTATATACAGAGTACTACTACCTTATTTAATGCCTGCTATGTTATATGGGGCAGAGTGTTGGGCGGTTAAGAAGACTCATGTGCGTCGTCTGCATGCGGCGGAGATGCGGATATTACGATGGATGTGCGGGAAGACAAGGTTGGATAGGATTTCGAATGAAGTTATCCGACGTCAAGTAGGTATGACACCGGTGGAAGACAAGTTGCGGGAAGCGAGGTTGAGGTGCCTTGGCCATGTGAGACGGCGGGATGCTGACGCCACTGTACGGAGATGCGAGAGGATTACGGTTATCGGGGGAAGTAGGGGAAGGGGTAGACCTAAGAAGAATTGGGAGGAGGTGATAAGACAGGATTTAGGACTTCTCGACCTGACTGAGGATATGGCCCTAGATAGGAACCTTTGGAGAACTAGAATTAGAGTAGCTGGATAGGAGCTCGGTGTTGTAGAGGTTGTTTTGTAGTGTGTTGTATTTGTTGGGAATCTTTTGCTATTGTTTGTACTTGTTGCTTATACTTGGTGCCTTATCTGTGCTATACTGTGTTCTCTTCCATATTTTTGTGCAGGTGGAGTCGGGGGTCTCTTGGAAACAGCCTCCCTACTTCCGAGTAGGGGCAAGGTCTGCGTACACACACCCTCCCCAGACCCTACTGTTGTGGGATTCAACTGGGTTGTTGTTGTTGTTGTTGTTACTACCTTATTTAATGCACTTATTTAAATTTCTTGTACTAAATACCAATGACATTAAAAGTACTCTATACTACCTTATTTAATATTCCTTCTGTCCCAAAAACTCCTTCACATTTCAAAAAAAGGGTATCCCACAATCTCCTTATCATTTCTATTAAAAAACCAATTTTACTCTTTATTTTTTTTATACCCTACATATCACATCATATCTTTTTACTAATAAACTACGCATCACATCCTACTTTTACTCATCACATCAAGGGTATTTTTGGAAAGTCAATACAAAATTATCTCTCTCTCATCTTACCACTTTAGTCAATATGTCTTTCTCTTTCTGGGACGGAAGGAGTACACATTTTATATTTTAACAACTTTAGAATTATGTAACTTCAAAGTGTCCAAATTGTAGAATATAATAGGACAGAGAGAGTGGAGAATAGACAAATAGTTGTGTTATTGTAGTCTAAAAATATAAATGTAAAGTGTGGATCTTTTCACATATTTTCAATTAATTCATAGTTAGATCTTCCTATTTTTACAAGGCCATCATGGCAAAGTCATTAATAGACCTAAGGTCCATGCTAATTTTATGAACCTTAGTGCATTTGTAGTATAAAAGTAATTGGTCTTTTGAAAAAAGAAAGTATCCGCATATAAGTCCATACAAAATGTGAAAAGGTCTGATCCACATTTTAAATGTAGACCTTGGTACATGCAAGCATCACTAAAGGCTCATTACATAAAAATAATTATGTGTGAAGATTCATATATAAAATGAGTATGGAACTATGGATATAAGACTCAGAGATAAATTTCCATGTGTATGGTAATATACTTATGTACTCAGGCATATTCTATGATGGACCTAAGGTTCACCATGGACCTACATATGAGTAAAATAAGCATTTCTTTACTACTTAAATAAATACTCCCTCCGTCCGGAAATTTTCTTCTCGTGTTGACTTGGCACGCTTATTAAGGAATAGTAAAAAAATGCAAAATTTTCAAAAATGCACATAGTATAAACTTTTAAATCTCCTTTTATTATTAAAAAAGTACTAAAAAGTAGATTTGTGATAAAATAGAAGGGTATTATTGATATTTATCCTTAAAAAGTATACTAAAAAAGAAAATGGGAAGAATATTTCCGGACGGACCAAAAAGGAAAGTGGGAAGAATATTTCCAGACGGAGAGAGTATTTGTTTTTTTAAATACAAAAAAATTATGTGAAAAGATCTACAAAAATGATATGCACTGAAGGCCAAAGAAACGCTCGTTCCTCATCTCTCCATACCGTAATTAAGTTTTCAATTGTGAAATTTGCACTAAATAGGACTTAAACATAATGACTTTCCCTAAATAGGACTTAATAATGACCTAGTGGGAGGAATAATGTCCAGTAATGATGGACATTTACTTGATTAATGACTACTTCATAATGATCATAGGTCCTACATTGGGAAATAAAAACATATGGTTCTATATTGGGAAAGTCATTATGTTTTAGTCCTATTTAGGTAAATTTCTCTTTTCAATTTCCTTTTTTGAATGCCTTAATTTACATTGCCAAATTATGCTCCCTCCCACAATAAAATATTTCTTGTTTACTATTCTAGGCTTCTAATAACTTTTACTTGCATATATTTTGTTCATAGTTTATTTGATAAAATAAAAAAGTCTTGTCACCACTTTTTTTTTCATTCGTAAAACTATGTAAGGGCTTGTTCTCTTCACCTGATCAGATTAGTTTTGATCTGATTAAAATAAATTTTAATCTAATTGTAGTTATATTACAACTTATTTCTGATCTTATCCGGTCTAATCTGATTTGATTCTTATAAGAATAAGTAATAAGTAATAAGTAATAAAGATAATTAACTCAAAGAGAACAAGCTCTGAGAGTTTTTCTTCAACATATTCTTACGGCTTATTACTTATTCTTATTTGGATCAGATTAGATCAGACCAGATCAGATTATACACAACTTTAATTATAACTACAATCAATCAGATCACAACCATATAATTCGATTTATAAATAAAGTCATTTTAAAATAGATTTGATTTTAAAATGTTGTTCGTAGCAAGGAAATTTTTTAGAACTAAAGGAATATCTTTTTTTACTTATTCAACTTCCATCAAAATAAAAATCAAAAAATAATTCATTCCCTTTAATGAATAAGGTAGCATGGTTTATGACGTTATATAAACTTAGTCCCTATTCCGTTCAACTTATTTTTTCTTATTTTTTCTTATTCTTATTAAAATCAGATCAGATCCAATCAGATCAGTTCAGATCCAATCAGATCAGATCAGATCAGATCCAATAAGATCAAATCAGATTCATTCAGATTAGACCAGATCAGATCAGATCCAATTAAGAATTATTATTATTATTATTATTATTATTATTAAAAAAGAAAAAAGAATAAACTTTAGATACAAGTTAAATAGAAAACTGAGAAAGTAATTCTTAATTATTAGACGTCGGAAAAATTATTTTTGAAATACATTGACAATGTCAATCTAATTCCACTTTTAAAATACATTTTTATTTCTACCTGTAATTTGAGTTTCTAAAGTTTAGATCTTTTACTACATCGAGTTGATCAACTTTGATCATGACTTAAATAAAATTAACATTTGATATTCATATACGAAGTATATTTTAGTGTAACTATAATAACTATTATATCTATGGTATTATATTAATCATAAAAAAAGTTTCGTAGTACAAAGTACACGTTTATATTTTATAAGGATGAGGTATTTTAATAAAAATACGATCTCTTTTCTATATTCATTATCTAAATTTAATTACTTTTTAATGTATATATATGAACTAAATATTTATTCTAATAAATATATGAACTAATTATTAAAATATTAAATCAATATTTTTATTTCATAAAAAAATAATCATAAAATAAAAAATATTATTACATCATAATATGAATGATTATTCTAATATATGAATTAAATAATTTTATTTCATTAAAAAATAATCATAAAATAAAAAATATTGATTATATTATAATATGAATTATCATTAGAATTTTCAAACATTATTATAAAGTCAAATCAAAGTATTGATTTGAATTTTAAATCAAATCATATTTAATCAGATCAGACTAGATTAGATCCAATCAGATCAGATCCAATCAGATCAGACCAGATCCAATCAGATTCAATCCAATCAGATCAGATCCAATCAGATCAGATCAGATCAGAACTGCAAAAAATTTGATCAGATCAGAAAAAATAAGTTGAACGGAACGGATTCTTCCTTACATAAAATTTCAAATTTTACAATTTCATTTTTTTTTCTAATTACGTGACAATAAAAACGAAAACTTAAATACTCCTAGGAATGATTAGCCATTAATTATTTGTTTATATATACAGCACTCCTCCTACATATATATATATATATAATGATACATCCATCCATGTCCAGGAATTAGTACATACTGTGAGAGGGATCTAATAACACTCTAATATAATAAATCCCCTTTAAAACGTGCAGTGAGATTATCATCACTAACATATCACAAACTACTCTTCCATTACAAAACCTATATATCTCCCCCCCAACCCCATCATTGTGCATGCATGTGAAGGCAATTAAGAATATATATCTATACATAGATATATACATATATATACAAATAAAATAAATAAATAAAGATGGTGAGAGCACCTTGCTGTGAGAAGATTGGGCTGAAGAGAGGGCCATGGAGTCCGGAAGAAGACCATCTTCTTGTTTCTTACATTCAGAAAAATGGCCATTCCAATTGGAGAGCTCTTCCAAAGAAAGCTGGTATGTATGTATACACACACACATATATTTACTCTTTTTTTAGTGATGCAATTTTGAGATTTTTCTCTCATTCAAACAAATTTTTATCGCGCGCTTTTTAATATTTTTCTGAAACTGTATAAACACACACCAAATAGGTAATGTTGTCTTTCCTTTTTTTAACTCGTGAAATTATGAATGAAATAGAGATATTTGCACTAAATAGCACTGTGAAATAATGATCAAGAATTTTGAATTGGTTGTTGGGCGTGATTTATTTTCCTCAAAAAAAAAAAAATTGGGGGTGGCAAAGTTCAATTTCTATGTTAAATTTGCCCAAAGTAATGTGTAAAATTAAAGTTTCAATTTTAATTTCTAAGTGTGTTTCAAATCATTTATGTTAAGTTTTTTTGTTGTTGTTATTGGATTAATTAATTAATTAATTAATTAAATAAAAAAAATGAAAGGACTGTTAAGGTGCGGGAAGAGTTGCAGACTAAGGTGGATAAATTACTTAAGTCCGGAAATAAAAAGAGGGAATTTCAGCAAGGAAGAAGAAGACACCATTATCCATCTCCATCAACTCCTTGGTAACAGGTAGTAGTGCATATTTGGTTTACTTCCCTTTCTTTTTTCTTTTTTTTCTTTTTTTTTGAAAAATAAATGGAGAATCCCAGTTAGTTGCAGTGTACGCCAAGGCAGAAACAGACATACACAGACATTAATTGTATATATGTGTCTGTTTTCATCTTGTTGCAGTGTACTTGGTGTACACCAAGTGGGGCTCCCCTAACACCCCTCTTTTATTATATTTTTTGTTCGTCAAAAAAAATAATTTATTACTACCTCCGTGGCTCCGTCTCAATTTATATCGCCTATTTCAGTTTACGGTGTTTGATTAAAATTATTTTCAAATCATTTTATATGAAAAATAGTATAGAGTTGAAAAATATAATAAAAATTACATATTAAAATACTATAATAGTCCATATTTTTTTTTACAATCACATTCGGAGTATATAGGTCGGTCTCCATTGGCGGCAGGGGGAGTCAATCCCACTACTCCATTAATAAAATTCCATTTGTCATATTCGTCGGGCTGCTTAATTTGATTGATTGATTAATTAAGTTGAATCATAAGAGTATAAAGACTACACTTCTACTGTACACTTTTCTGTTTGGTCCTTCTCAAAATATTCAAAATACCTCCTCTATCCTTAAATCATACGGAGTATATTTTTTTACACAAAATGAAATAAAATTTTAATTTTTTTTCAATTCATTTTATTTAAAGATTGGTATAAAAATAAAAAATAAAATTTACATATTTAAAAAATACATCAAAAATTCTACGAAACAAAAGGTGATAAGAATATTTTATTTCAACAAATAGTCAATGAAAACACACAAATAAACAAAAATTTTCACAATTTTTGAATAGTAAAGTATTAAATCATTTAGATGCATAGGAAGTATAAAAAGTATTCTTTACTCCTCCCTTCGTCTCAAATTTATCTTCTTTTCTTTTGGATAACGTGCACAATCATATAAAGTATTTTTTTTAATTAAATTTATTTTTAACTTGATATACAAACAAAAATTACAAGCTACTATACTTTTGAAAAAATTATGTCAAAAATTTTACAAATTCATCTATATATCTAGAATATAAATGTATCTTATTTGTGTCATATAGAGAATATTTGCACAAATTTCATGCTCCCTATGTATAATGGAAGTAAGTACTAAAAAATAACAATTGTACAATTTTAATTTGAAACTTTTGAAGTACACTTAGCATTGATATTTTTTTCATTCATGTCATTTTCATAGAGAATAATTGCTAGTCGCTCAACTAAAATTTCCTCCTTCACCAAGAACGGGGCCCTTTTTCGTAATTAAAATGGTGATTTGACAAGTAATCTATCCTTTCTCATACGGATTACGGAGTACTTAGAGCATTGGAAACGCGTGTGCGGGTCGGTACCGAACCGCATGATTTGGGACGAGTTAGGGCAGGGTCCAAAGTTTTATATTTAAAAACAAGCCAGGACGGGTCATCTAGAAAAATAAGTCGGGCTGGTTCCTAAAATTTAAAAACACGAAGACCCGAACCGACCCATTTCTTATAATTTAATAAATTATAAATATAAAAAGTACTACCTCCGTCCCACTGTCTTTGTCCACATTTGACTTTTGAAACTGTTCATCTAAGCACTTGACTCATCAAATTCTCTTAATGTGTAAGCCTAAAAATAGTCATGTGTGATATTGTTTGATTCGTCTTAACATATAGATTATTAATATTTAATTTCTATAATTTTTTAATATACAAATTACAAGATAAAATGAAACAAGCCGGGTTAGGGTCGGTTCCAAATATTTTTTTTCAATAGCCCGGCCCGTCTCGGCTTGTTTATTCTAAAAACAAGTCAGGGCCGAGTCCTATGAAATCTGCCCGATTCGGCCCGTGCCCACCCTAATTTTGAAGTCAATTTTGTTTATCTCAAACTCAATTTTACGAACGAAACACCATAGCGACACCGTTTCCCAGTGCTAGGGACTTTGGGCGTTCTTTTAATGAGATTATTTCAGAATTTTCTTCTAATTTGTTTTAAGTAAAAAAACTGAGCGGTCATTATTAATTCATATTTTGCTTAGAGTATAATAAGCGGAAAAGACGAAATTATATTTTTATTCTTTATGAGTTAAACATTAAGAAAGTAGCAAAATAGCAATCTTATATTTTTATTCTAAAAATAAGAGTTACAATGCTAATAATGTCAACTTATAATATCAAAAAACACTGTAGAATCCCAAAATGCAATGACGCATTGTCACAATATAAATTTTTATTTTGAAGAAAAAAATATGTTATATTTTGGAGACACGCCTATGTTTTATTCTGACATGTTTTAGATGGTTTCTTATATAAAAACTTTTCTAGGGTTTACAACCAAAAACTTTATTATTTCGTTGAGTTAGTCTCTTCATATAATATTAGAGCCTTGTTGATCAAGAATCATGAATCCGTATCACACTGTCACCTTATTTCCAAAAATAAGATTTTAAGTGCAACACTTGACACGGTCACGCTTGTACGTGAAAAATGTTACTCCGTAAAATTTAGAAACTTTCTCTGAATCTACACTCACAAGTTTAAATTTTTTATTTACTTTCCTGACATTTTTTTTCACAAATACCACAACCACACCAAATATGGAACAATGACAATGGAATGTAATGTTAGAAACACTGATTTGACATATAATTTTGGTTATTTGAAATTTTCAGATGGTCGGCAATTGCTGCAAAATTGCCAGGTCGGACAGACAACGAAATAAAAAACGTTTGGCATACACATTTGAAGAAGAGGCTGCCAAACTACGAGCCGCCGCCACCCAAGTCCACCAAGACCGCCCGCCCACCACCGCCAGAACCCACTTGCGACGACGGAGGCCCCACCGTCTCGTCCTCCTCGCCGGAATCTTCTGTCACGGCCGAAACCACCGCGCCGGAAACCGCCGGAGAAGCGGAGTTCTCGCACATTGCCGAGAGCTTTTGGACGGAAGTCCTCTGCTTCCCCGACGAGGCTGGCGGCGAAGTGTCGCTCGAGTCCAGGGGTTCGACGACGGCGGCGGCGGAGGATGGTATGGACTTCTGGTACGACCTTTTGTTCAGAGCTGGGGAGTTGTCGGAATTATCGGACTTTTGAGGGCTCTGTTTTTGTGGCTTCGCAAATCTTTTGGTCTCGTTCGTCGATTAATGTATATGTGTAGTGTTTGTTTTTGTGGTTTGTGTTTTATAAATCATAAGATTGACTTTTTACTAGTGTATAATATATGGATAATAAGTATTAATGTACGAAAAGATTCTTTTGAGGTGTCAAAAATATTTTATTTTATCAAATAATCAATGAAAACGTAAAAATAAACAAAAGTTTTCGAAACTGCTGAAAAAACAAATGTGAGATATATTTAGAAACGGAGGGAGTACTTCCTTTTCCCCAAATAAGCTTCAATTTCCTCCTTCACGGAGTCAAATTCATTCTCGCCCCAGATTTAAGTCAAACTCTCGTTACAACAAGGAAACAGGTTCCAATTCCAACATTCTCTAGTCTTTTGTAGGAGGGGAGGGCAATGTCAGCACTTTATTCAAAACTGAAGTTCACAACATAAAGGTCTCATTAATAAGATGCATTCGGGGTCGGGGGGAGGGGGGGGCTTAAGAGAGGCAAGAGTATGCCAAAGCCTTCTCCTCGGCGAGCTCTTGCGCAGTTGCGTCCATCTTCTTTCTTGACAACTCGTCGATAGGAAGATCTGTGTCATTGACAAATAGAAGTTATTCTAAGGGCAGTGCTATATTTACATTGTGCCAAAGAGAAGAAAATTGTGTGTGAGATGCTATTATAAGAGGTCTTATATGCTAGTTCCAAATTCCTCTATGTTTCTTAGGTGGTATTTACTTGGGACTCCAATCCAAGTCCCACAGCATTGGAAGAGTTTTCAAAATTTGGATGGTTTCACAATAATTTTGTAATAAAATGGGACCATAGCATTGGAAATAATAATAATAATAATAATGGAAGCTAGTCCCATGATTTTTCATGTGGCAATCTGTGGGACTACAATATGGTCCTAGCATTGGACATGCTCTTAGGGGTAGGACCTGGTTTCGGGCCCAACAAAGCACTGTAGGACCCAAGTATCATATTATGACACTGAAAATGGGGGTCAGAAAGAGCCGTTGATGGTGTGTTATGTGTTTTTTTTGGAAAAAGTGTACTTTAAGGTCATTGTATTATAGAGGGAGTATTATAAAGTATAAAATTTAAGGTTGCCGCTTGATAATATGATTAACACGAATATTGGCCATAAAAATAACATCAGTAATCTACATTAAATAAATTACTCACCTTGGACAATGCTCCATTCTCCATTCTTGCAAGTAACTGGGAAGGAATAGATTAGTCCAGCTGGGACATTGTAAGAACCATCAGAGTATACACCCATTGACACCCAAGTTCCCTGAATTACAATATTAGGCAAAAAAAACTTGTTAATACAGAGAGAGAGAGAGAGAGAGAGAGAGAGAGAGAGAGCCAGTCAAGTAACATGATTCAAAATTAAATACACCTAAAAGCCCAGTTGGTAGGCTTTATTTTTAGCAAATTCAAGCAATTCAACTTCAGACATTTTTGCAATTTCAACAGAATTGGCAATTCTAAGCCTTACCAAATGCACTCACAAACTATAAAGCCTGTATTCGTACCTCTGGAGTACCCAGCACCCAATCACGTATGTGGTCACAAGCTGCGCTAGCAGCAGAGAGAGCACTAGAAAATTTTCTAGCCTTGATAATGGCAGCTCCACGCTGCTGGACAGTGGTGATGAACTCACCATTTAACCTAAATTTATCACACATTAGCAGAAACATAATAACAGCTTAAAATTTTATAATCAAAGATCAGGCAAAGTATACATATAACTACAGATTTTTGTTGTTTACCATTCATCATTTCCAACAAGCTCACGGACAGGTTTTTCACCAGCTGGTGTTTTGATGGTTGCATGATTAACATCAGGATACTGTGTGGACGAGTGGTTTCCCCAAATTATTACATTTTTAACCTCACTTACATGAACACTCAATCTCTCTGAGATTTGGCCTAGGGCTCTATTATGATCCAATCTTGTCAGACAAGTAATGTTTTCCTTGGGGATAGAAGGCGCAAACTCCTTCAAAATCAATGCATTGGTGTTTGCAGGGTTAGCAACAACCAAGACCTGAGAGAGAAAATCATGAACAATAAATCAAAAGTTGTACTTTTCCTAAACACAACCGGAAATAGGCTTCACAGACACATCAGAAACTGAAAGAATATAGCGAAACAGTAGATGCTCCAACTTTCAAGTGCAGTCCCAAAATTATGCATGACTTGAACAGACACAAAAAGTTTAGAAAAAAACTTATAATGTAATCTCACCTTATTGCAGCCTATTCATTATAAGTGATGTTTCTTATGTAGAGTAATACTCATTGTGTGAAGTAATCTCAAGAGTTGCATATGAATAAGCAATGCTTATCATGTAATCTCAACAGTCGCATACACTCACAATGCTAAATAAAATATAGAAAAGGAGTACATAAACACAAATTTATGCAATCATATCATATGCTAATATAACAATAAACTCGCTAGTCACTATTATGAGCTTCCACTCACCCTTCAGTTCAGAAATTTTAAGCAAGATGTTTATTTTAAAATAGAGAAGAATACATCAAGACTACTTTTAGATTACCACCACTCTCAAACCATTTATTGTACCCATTCATGGAACATGGTTAAGTACTTAGGTTTGAATTAATTCACCACAATCCATTGATGGGAAAAATAAGTGATGTTAAAATGGGGTAAATCCAAGAGTTGTGTCAATATATCCTTCCTCTTTTGCAATAAAGTTGTAATCATAGCATATGATAATGTAGCAATGAATGTGTTTCAATAAAAGAAAAGGAAATGAATTTTTTAAAGTTTTTCCAAATAATTATATGGTAGTTAACAAGTTATTAATTCTAGGTTTTGAGAATTATGTCTCACTTTGCAGTTAGCAGCAGCATGCTTCTCAAGAGCAGATGCCTGGGACTTGTAGATAGAAACATTTTTTGACATCACATCTTTTCTCTCCATTCCTTCTTTTCTTGGAAAGCCACCAACCATGACAGCAACATTGACATCGGTACATGCCTCAACAACATCAGTCGTAGCAACAACACCTGGCATATATTATGGATATCCAAGAAGCTGTATTCAGTATGCTTTGAGAAAAAAAGATGTTAGTCTAATCAGAGTTGATTAACTCTCAAAATTCAATGAAATTATATTACTATACTACATGAAAAAAGCAATATCAGTGTATTGTAAAAAAAAGATGCATAGTTATATAATTTGTTAACAAACAAATGGAGGACTTGAACCTTTAAGAAGAGGGAAAGCAGCGTCCACTAATTCCATTTTCACTCCATTCAATGCCTCTGCAGCAGGTTCTATATCGAGCATATGGAGTACTACTGGCTGGTCAGGACCAAACATTACACCCCTAGCGATCATAGGGACCAGAGCATACCCAATTTGACCTGAAAGACCAGCCAGCCTCAATTATTATGACTCAAAGGAAAATTGTTCTGGAATAAATGGATACAGGTGCATTCTCTTGTATAGTCATCAATTAAATAAAGCATTTCATAGTAAAGAAATCCAAGTATCCAGCAGTGCATAGTAAATTGCATTTCAGTATGGAGCTCGAGTAATTCAGTAATCAATTCATTACAAGTTCTGTGGTTGGCGAGCAATCACTTCTTGTTAGTGAGCATTTAAGTTTTTTTGTGTACAATGATTGTACACGTATGGAGCACTAATTTGAGTTTATTAAACATACAACTTTCATTTAGTGAGCAATTCGCTTGTCATTGGTGAACACATAAGTCTCCATCGATGAATTATTGCAGAATGTTTATGTACGTACAATTCTACCATAGAATAACACTCATTTCATAGCTTTTGTAGCACTTTAACTAATCTTTCAAAACATGAATCGATCAATGGAATGACGAATAAAGATAAGATTCAAAATGCACAAAATAAAGTTACTATTCTACTAACGAAATAAACACAATCATAACTAACTCCTATCACAAGTAGATCAGGAAGAGAACAATAAAGTCAATACGCAATCTCAACACCACAGTTCAGAACATGAATCAAGCATACAAAGCCACACTTCAATGTCTGTTAAACAATCCACATGACAGTTCAAAACAGTAGATGCACAAGTCAGCACTTGCATCCTAGCAACACACTGAGCAAGAAAGTTCAAAATGTGAAATAGCACAGATACAGCCATGTTTGCAGAAAGTATCACCCCCCCCCAGCAATGATCATAAAATAAAGCTCAATAAAAGACACAAGATCTAGCAAATTGCTCAACTCAAAATCACTTCCTATCAAAAATCAGAAACAAGTAAGGTCTAATGTAATTGAACAAACGCATAAACGTAACTAGACCAGAATCAAAGTTCAAACTGAAAACCAGATTATTTTCTATGTTTCACTTACAAATCATCGTTACAACATACTGAAGATCCGACAAAAACCAACTAGATGATGATTGATGAACACTGAGAAATGCAGATTTCTTATGCAGGAAACAGGAAAACAAAATCAATCAGATTTGAGTAAAGAACGAATGAATGAAGTACCTGCAGCACCAGTGACTAGGACGCGAATCGGCTCCTTCGCCATTTCCGCTAGAGATCTGGTCGAACTTCTGGATTCTGGATGAGAGAACTTCTGAAGGAGGAGAGACTAAAAGCAGACTGGAGTGGATATCAAAGTCGAAGAACATCGATAACCTTTATGTGGGTGAGAAGTGAGGTGGACCGTGAGAGTAAGGCTTTGTTTGGCTGAGGATTTGAGGAAAGAATCCGAAAGAAGGAAAATGAAAAGGTAAAAGGAAATAAATGAAATTAGACATATTCCCTATTTAAAAAAAATGTATGAATAGATACTATTTCGTGAAATTTGCACTAAATAGGACTAAAATATAATGAATTTTTTAATGTAGGACTTAAATTTTTTTATTCCTTAAATAGGACTTAATAATGACCTAGTGAAAGGAATAATGTTCAGTAATGATGGACATTTAGTTGAATAATGACTACTTGATAATGACCAAAAGTTCTACATTGGGAAATAAAAACATATAGTCCTATATTGAGAAAGTCATTATGTTTTAGTCCTATTTAAGTAAATTTCTCTACCATTTTATGGTAGAGTTATTTGTGTTCAAAAAAATCCATAGTGATGAACTTTCTTTTCAACTTATTACTCCGTACTTATTATTACATATCCTTATTGAAACCAAATCAGATAAAAAAGAACTCTAAATATAATTACAATAATAAGATTAAATCAAACCATATTAGAACTTATTCCATCATATCAGGTGAAGAGAACAAGTCTAATGGGACCTGATTTACTTTTATTAAGATTTGATTTGGTATGCTCTTATACAATTGTATTTCTATGTAAAACTAGCTAGTTCTAATCGTATTTGGTCTCACTAGTAAAAACTAGATTCATCCCCGTGCAATGCACGGACATAAAATTTGTCGTGTTTATTGATTGCTTACGATCATATATACATCTTAAGCAAACTCTTTAATTTACAACATTAGAAATTTAAGAGTGTGTGAGCAAGTTCCTTAAAACCTTTTAATGTCAATATTAAAATAAATTTATATTGCAATATATATTATCTTATTTCTTGAGTATCTATCCAGTTTTGACTTTTTCCACTTAATCATTTTCAATCTTTGACCTATAATTAAATAAAATATATATTGTATATTAATTTGATAAAATAATATTTTTGAAAACATTTGATGTAATAAATCTAATAAAAATATTTTTGTCCAAATATCTAATACTATTTTTATTTAATTTGAAATTTAAGTTTACCAATATTTATCGGAAGA